TATAGGACAGGGTAGAACTGTCCCTGAGAGTTTCCAAGATGGTAAAAGGAAATGCAGCAGTTCTTCTCTGGTCTTCTTTATGGTCCAGCTGTCACATGCACCCCTGTGCGCATTCGCACTTGTAAAGAGATCTTGTGGAGCAGATTGGTCGAGTGCAGTGTTTCCTTTGATTTCTTGATTCCTGTTGCTTTCATCGCATCGATTGTGGGTCCAAGTAAAAAAAAAAAATTGACTTCAACGTGTTCTCCTTCTCTTACGATGTTCTCTATTGGCCTAGTTGTACGGATTTGGTTTTCTTACATTGAATTGGAGTATCTGTACTGAACGCTGTAATCCCTAATCTGCATCAATAAGTGTTTCAAATACTCTTGGCTTTCAGCAGACAGTGTTAGGTCATCTGCGTATTTCAGGTTGTTAATGAACGTCCCTGCAATCCTGATGCTTCATTGTTCTTCATTGAGTCGTGCTTTTCGGAATTGTTACTCAACATACAGATGAATAAGTATGGTGAAAAGATACAGGCTGAGACACACTTTCCTGATCAAAGCGTGCATTCCCCACGCTTTCTCTGAGCAGCCGCCCCCTTGCTCTGTGTACAGGTTCTGCATGAGCAACAATGAAGTCTTTTGGAATTCCCTTTCTTTGCTAAATTATCTAGTTCATATGATCCACACAATCAAATGACCTGTATACTCGTTAAAACATAAGTAGACATATTTCTCATATTCTCTGTTTTCCATTTGAGTATAATGAAGTCTTTTGGAATTCCCTTTCTTTGCTAAATTATCTTGTTCATATGATCCACACAGTCAAATGATGTGCATACTCTTTAAAACATTAGTAGACATATTTCTGATATTCTCTGTTTTCCATCTGATGGCAGCATTCATGTATACGATCCCTCAATGCATGACCTCTTCTGAATCCAGCATAAATTTCTGGCATATCCCTGTTCATGTACTAAGGCAGCCATTTTTTGAATTATCTTCAGTGAAATTTTCCTAGCATGTGACCATAATGATATTGTTTGACATTTTTCACATTCTTTTTGGCCACCTTTCTTTGGAATCAGAAGGACCCCTGGTGGCGTAGTGGTTATGCGTGGGGCTGGGATCCTCAGGGGGGCAGTGTGAAGTTACTCGCCCCTCCCGGGGAGAAGGCTGGCGCCTTCTGCTTTTCTAAACAGTTAGTCTGGGGAGCTCACAAGGGCAGTTTTACCCTGTCCTTACAGGGTCCGTATGAGCTGCCACTGACTTGATGGCAGTGAGTTTGTGTTTTTGTCCCTTTGGAATGGGCGCAAATAGGAACCTCCTGTAGTTGTTAGGCCGGGGAGCTGTCTTCTACATTTCTCGGCATCCATCAATGAGTGCTTCCAGTGCTGCATCAGTTTGGTCAAACATTTCAATTGGTATTCTGTCAATTGCTTGAATCTTGTTTTCCCCCAGTGTCTTCAGTGCAGCTTGGATTTCTTCCTTTAGTACCATTGGGTCTTGATCATATGCTACTTTTTGAAGTGGTTGGATGTTAGTTCTTTTTGGTACAGTGACTCTGTATATTCTTCCCTTCTTCTTTCGATGCTTTCTACATTTAATATATTGCCCATAAAATCCTTCCATATTTACACTCAAGGCCTGAGTTTTTTCTTTCGGTCTTTCACTTTGAGATGTGCTGAGCATGTTCTTTTTTTGGGTAATGCCAGGTCTTTGCGACTTTCACTCCAATGCTTTGGCTTCTCCAGCTGCCTTTTGAAACGGGCTGTTCGGCTCTTTATCACTTGTTCAGTTCACTCTAGGCACTGCATGTTCAGGAGAAAGCTTTCGAGTCTCTTCTGATAGCATTGCTGGTCAGTCCGCTCCTGACTGTCTTCTCAGTGACCGTTTTCTTCCTCACGGGTGCTGGTCAAGATGTTCTACTGTTCACGAGATGCTCTCAGTTCAGGTGGGTTAGATTCAAGGTCGCATTTTGACTCTTCGTTTTAAATTTCTTCAGCTTCAGCCTGAACTTACGTATGAGTAATTGATGATCTGTTCCACAGTCAGCCCTGGTCGCGTTTTGATTGACGGTATTGAGTTTCTCCATTGTCTGCTCCCCAGAGATCTACTTCTGTGTACTCCCTCTGGTGAGGCCCATGTTTGTAATTGTTGACATTTATGTTGCTGACGAGGTATTGGTAAAGAAGTAGTCACTGACCTTGCAAAATTTGAACATGCAGCAGTTTCTATCACCAGGGCAATATTTTCCACCTCTTTTTCCCCCCAACTTTCTTATTCTAGTCACCGGTAGTAATCAATGCATCGTAATGCATGTTTGATGAATTTTAGACTGAAGCAGTTGGTGGAATTCTTCCAGTTCTTCGTCATTGGCTTCAGTGGTTGATGCGTACATTTGACTAACAGTTGTATTATTTGAATTTCCTTATAGGTGTACAGATATTACCCTATCACAGATGGCATTTTTGATGATAAATATGACATCATTCCTCTCAAGTTTGTCATCCTGGCGTAGTAAACCGTAGATAGGATTACCCAACTCAAATTGGCCAAATCCAGACCATTTCAGCTCACCGCTGTCTAGGATATCAGTTTTTATGAGTCTCATTTCATTTTTGACAACTTCTAATTTTCCTATCTCGATACGTTATACATTCAGTGTCCTGGTTATTAATGGGTATTTGCAGCTGTGTCTTCTTTTGAGTCGTGTTCCAGCATCAGATGGTCAGGAAACATTAATTCTTGGCCTAGTCTGAGTTGGAAGACTGAAATGTCTGTAGGGGGCAGTCTTGGACAATAAAAATCTATAGATTATAGTGAACTACAGAGAATCATAGTATAGCATACCATAATCTGGTTTTGTTTTAAAAAAACCTAGTAAATATGAATTTTTAATTAAAAAAATTAAGTACACGTGTCTGTAGAAGTACAAATAAATGTCTGTTCATCCACAAATACATACATTTTAAATCTGTTTTTTAAAGGACAGTAATGAAAAGCACACGAGAACTAATTGAATTTAGTGAGTTAATTTAATTAACTGAAAAGTAAACTTTAATGAAGAATTCAAATGTGTGGCTATATGTAGCTTTTCAGTGGTTGCGGCATTGGCTGCTTTAAAAGCAGCTGCGCTGTGGTAGCCAGCATTCCGGTTAGCCACAGCGGGGCTCTGCGTGCCTGTTCTTGGTGTGTTTCCATCGAATGGCTTGGTAGCGCTTTCAGACTCCTCCATCCACAGGTTATCTTTACTTTTACTCCTTTTACCCCGCCCGTGTCCCCTTTGCAACAAAGGTCTTGCTCGTTCATATTCTTCTTGAGTTCTAAATGGGTTGATTTTTAATAATCAGGCCTCTTTTAACCGTGGCTTATATGGCAATGACCCTGGAGTCCATCCTAGCAGCACCAGGGCCTGTACAGTTCCAGAAGGGCGGTGTTACATTGCCCGTCTCTTTATCCTACGCCCCGACCCGAGCGTGTAGGACTTACATGGAATTCCAAAGAAACTTTGCACTGCTTTTGACATTTTGTGTGACGTGATCCCCTCATTCTTTATTCTATACGCTTATCACAATCTCCCATATTCTCTATAGTCTGCTATTGATTTTATCAGTAATTTTTCTTGTCACTTCCCAGATGACTGTTCAAGAAGACAGATATTTCAAGGTTATTATTTTTTAATCCCTTCCCCTCCGGTGCACCGCACTCTGTGTGCCACGGCCAATGGGGATTTCTTCAGAGCCAAAAAGTTATTCCGCGTCACAAATACACCAGCTCCAGGAGATCCAGAGTGTTCCTGTGTTGTCTACCAGGAGGGGCTCTTAATTGTTCTGTTGTGTCTTGCGATTTAATTAGAGACTTTACAAAACGTATAGTTTTTGTTTTACTCTTTTTTTTTTCCCCCTAAAGGGCTCTCAGCACTCCAGGATGTTGAAACAGGAGTGCAACACATTTTAGCAGACATGATTGCTAAAGACAAGGACACACTGGACTTCATTCGGAAACTGTGAGTAATTCTTCTAGGGGTTTCTGCCTCGTGGAATCCTGCTGTTGAGGGTTGCATGGTCAGTGCTAGCTCCAGTGTTCATTAAAAACCATTTGTTTGCAGGCTTCTTTGTTTTCGTAGCAGAACTCTTTGTTCAAGCAACAGAACTTTAATCTACGAAACAGATAAAAGTAAAGTTTCTTTAATTGAATTCTGGGCAGGGAGCCTGGCCCTCTGCCTGCTCGTCTCATCCTCTGCACGGCGGCACCTCAGAGGAGGGTTCTCATGTACTAAGGAGAGAGTCATGTTCATTTAGAGTGGGTGGCATACGTTTAAAACATACTGTGATGTATTCACTGAGTTTTATAGGAGCCCATCGCTTGTTCTCAGCAATGACTGGCTTGAGAATGTATAATATTAGGCATGGCGGAAGGTGCTGGCCTCAAAATGCAGTGTGTCTGATGTGAGAGCTTCTTACCCTGCTACCACATACCACTTTATACGAGAATGAAGTCCTATGTCCTAGACCCCACTTGGGCTTGTGGATTTTATATGTCATTAAAAAAGAAAAGAGATTCAAGTGCTGTTTTACGTACTCTGTCCTTCATTCTCCTGTGTGTATCAGCAGAGGAAGGAGATGGGGCCAGGCAGAGGTTTGTCGTCCCCTCTCTCTGTTTGTCTCGCTGGGTAAGTAAGCCCTGCAGTAGAGATGAGTCAGCGGACTACTGTGGCTTGTCACGGTTTTTGTAAATAAGGAGAGAACTTTTTCCTTTTGTTCTGTTAGTGGCCCTGCCTAGAAGGGATGAGTTGCAGTCGGAGAATTACCCACATTTTTACTTTTGTTTCTCTGTTGTTATTGTTGTTTGTTTCTTCAGAGTTTGTTTTTTTGGGGGTGTGTGTGTGTTTTTTCCTTAAGATTAAAAAAAATAATTTTATTGAGGGCTCATACAACTCCTATCACAATCCATACATACATCAATTGTGTAAAGCACCTTTGTACATTCATTGCCCTCGTCATTCTCAAAACATTTGCTCTCCACTTAAGGCCCTGGCATCAGCTCCTCTGTTTCTTCATAGTTTTATTGGCATATAGTTCACACCACCTACAATTCACAGGTTCAGTCATAGTAAGAAGTATTGCACAATCATCCTCACAATTCATTTCAAAACATTTTCTTCTTTCTCGTACTCGTTGTTAGCTCCCCATGTGCCCTCTTATTTTTTTATTATTTCATTTTACCAACACCTAGTCAACATTTATTATAAAACTCCCCTGAACAGGCAGGTACTGGGGCTGGGTCTCCATGAGGAGTAGGTAGTCTTGGGGCCCAGTGTGGCCACTCTAATGTGCCCCGATGCCTGGCGATGACCCCAGGGTCTGTCAGCCCTTCCCCAAAGCTTTCCAGGTTCAGAAGTTCTTCCAGAGTCTGACAGCCCTCAGCTTTTCGAGAAAATTGCTTTTGCTGGAGAGCAGGCCATGGTGGGGAGAGACCATCTGTTCCCTTGGACCCTAAGTCCAGCATCTGCAGGTGATGGGCAGGGGACTGCAGAATCAGGGCAGAACTCAGAAGAAAAGGTGACATGAGTCTGAAGGTGAGGTAGCGAGAACCAACATCTTTCAGGTCCTGGGCCAGAAGCCGGGAGAAGGAAATGTCCATGCACCTCTCCCTCCTGGCTTCCAGAAGGGTGAGCTGGGGCTGAGTAGGGCTCTGTTAAATCAGGAGCCAGTCCCATGGGTATGACTGTAGGGCATCCAGGCCGTAGGGACCTCAGTGCCTGGCATGGTCCTGCAGACTCCCACCCTGGGTCCCTGGCCTGGAGTTCGGAAGCCGAGAAGGGATGGGCAGCTCATCCCCCGCTGGACCTTTACTGAACCTTTCTGGGCACCTTTGGGTTCTTCAGCATCAGGTAGGTGATGAACACTCCCACAAGCAGGAGCAGCAGGAGGCCTGCAGCCAGTGGGATGCCGACAGCATAGGCTCGGGCAGGAAATAGGTGTGGATGGCATGCTGGCTGTCGATGAATGGCAGGAGGGTCACCCAGCCGGTGCAGCATGTGAAGGTGGTTAGGCTAACAGCAGCGAGGCCGAGTCCCACCACTTGGTCTGCTTCTGTGGCCATTACCCCCACTTCCGACACCCTCCTTGTATGTTTTTTATAAGTGATTATGTTGCTGTAATTTGGTCCGGATTTGTGAATTGTCACCAGAGGTTATGCTAACCTGTTCTCTTTTCCCTCCTTTTTAGATGATTTTATAGTCCAGAGTTACTGGTTTGATTCTTGTAGACAGTTTCAGTCACTTGCATTATTGCAGGTGGTATCTGCTCCCGTAGACATTTTATGGGGGAGAATGGGCCTGTGCTAGTATCACTAGACTAAGAGGTGGTTCCTTGGTGGTGGGTCAATGATGTTATTTTTACAGTTGAGCTGCATTTGAAAAAGAAAAAAACCCCAAAAACCTTTTCCCTGTATGCTTCTCCACCAAAGCTCCCATTATTAACTGCTTGCTTGTTGAACATTTCTGTGTCTGAACAGGTGCCAAAACAGACCCATTTGTATCCAGTCAAGTCTTGCTAAAGTGTCCTCCAAAAAGGTAAATGAGAAAGATGTCGACAAGTTTCAGCTCTACCAGAATTTTTCATGCTACATAAGAAACATCCATCACCACCAGGTAAACAATGAAACTGCTTACAAATACCACGAGGCAGTAGTCATGGTGCTGCTTTGGATTCACCGGCTACTTCACTTACCAAGAATTTAGTGCCATACCCTTCCTATCGCACCAGTTAGGGAACTTACGGCTTGGAGATCTGGGTCAGAGACGCTGGGAACTGACAGCAGAGCCGACAGTAAAACAAAGCAAGTGTCTTGACTTTTTGGCTGTGATCTCTCCTGTTAGAGACTTGGATTTGAACTCACGTTTGGTTCGCTTCAGAACTTCAAGTCAAAGCTCTCTGATCCAGAATCAAAGTGTGAGAGACCTCACTTCATTGGGTTAGCCATAGTTATTAAATGACTGTCTCTTCATTTTTCAATATAGTCATTTTTTTCTTATTGAAGTCCTATCTACATTGTGGAATGTGGCTTTTACATTACATATTTTAAAAAAAAGAGTCACAAACCAAAACCATCACCGTGCTCGCTTTTATATTTGCTGATGTAACTACATTTACCAGGACTTTATTTCTTCAATTAGTTTCCAAAACCAATTGCACTGCCATCAAGTCAATCTGACGTAAAGTGACTGTTCAAGGGCAGAGTAGAACCTTGCCTGAGCGTTTCTGAGCCTGTAAATCTTCAGTGGAAGCAGGCAGCCCTATTGCAGAGCAGCTGGTGGGTTTGAATCCACCGACCTTGTGGTTCAAGGTTACCAGGGCCAAGTTAAACCTGTGACTTTACTAGGTAAGGTAGAAAAGAGCAAGAAACCCTTAATAATATTTTTTGAAAGTAAACAAGCGGCCATCTAGCCCAGAAGCAACAAAGCCCACATGGAAGCAGCACACCAACATGTGTGATCATGAAGGGCCAAAGGGACCA